CACCAGCCGGGGCATAGCCTTCCCCCCCCCCTCCCCCCCGCAGTGATTTACCTGTTTGCCAGGTGCTCTAGGCGCCAAAAACAACATCCCTGCAGTGCTGGGGAGGGGCATGTGACCGCCCTTGCAGCTTCCCTTTGCTTCCCTGTCAGACGGTTATTTTTCTGTAGAGAAGCAAAGAAATCTGTGGGGAACATGGATTCTGCATGCGTGCAGTGGTGCAAAATTCCCCCAGGAGTAATTCAGGCTAAAAGGGAAGGGGAAAACCCCAAAACTGACTTGTAATTAAAAATTCATTAAAAGTTCATTAGTCAACTCATGTGTCTTACCTGAAGATGAAAATTTGCCACCAACCTCACTTTCTTTGTAAATTCCAGCTAATGGCAGGAAAACGGGATAGTACCCCCACCAAGTCCATTACTCTACTAAATTCTGTCTCTGTTCAGTTAGTTGTGTTCTGTGCTACACTTGGCTAATATGTTCTGCAAACCTACCACTCCTGATTCATATCAATTCTAAACTCTCTCTTCTAATATGGGGCTCTCAAGAAGTGACATTTGAGTAGAATATAAACCCAAATCTACTTCACCATGCTGTGCACATGCATATGTGGAATAACTTATTGATTACTCTGTCATTCTCTGATATGAGGCCTTGATGCTGCAAATATCTATGATTTGGTGCTTAAACTGGAAGCACGTGAGTAGTCATACTGAAGACAATAGGACCACTTGTGCTTAAAGTTGAGCACAAGCTAAAATGTTTTCAGGATTTGGGCCTAAATTGTAGATTTTGGGGGGCAGTAGTCGTGTCTGTCTGTACTAGTATTCCACTGGACTCTGTAAAATAAATATGTTGAATCCGGTTTATCCATTAGGCCACTGAAAAACTATTTTTCTGCTCTACATGTTAATGTGAGAAGCATCTTTTATCACCAGCCAGAACAGGGGAAATGAATGGGTAGTTCTTCGAGAAGTGTCCCTGTGGGTGCTCCGCTTTAAGTGAATCTGCACCCCTGTGCTTGTAATCTGAGATTTTCAGTAGCAGTGCCTGGTTGCATCACACACGTGCTGTCCCGTCTCGTGCCAACTCTGGCGGTTACATAGTGTTTTGGGACCCCCTTGCCTCCCTCCTCCCCCCAGTTCCTTCTCTACCACCCTCTGCTTGAGATGGAGCATTTGGCAGCACCTCTGAGATTTATCTTTAGCCTATCTTAACTTTTGAATACTAATTAGTTAATTAGTAGTTAGTTTACTACCCTACCTCTTCCCTGTTTATTCTTAACATTTCTCGTAACTTAGGAATTTAAGTTTCAGTTATTAGGAAATCCCTTAGTATAGTATAGTTACCCTCCTTCACGGGAGAAACACTATTCTAAGGGGCATTCCCAGCTCCCTGGGTTTTAAACGTTGCCAGTCCTCAATCCTGGTGTCTGACGGGCACTCACATTGTGTCTGCTGTCTTGGTGGTACACACATACCACAAAAGTGCTCCCACTGCCACAATCTCAAGGCTCATGCCAGGAAAGCAAAACAAAGAGAAGGTTATTCACCCTGTGTAGTAACTGAGGTTCTTTGAGATTGGTGTCCACATGGGTGCTCCACTGCGCTCCTGCCCTTGTAAGCAGAGATTACCTGCATACAGATAGCGTAATCATAACCGGCAAATCATAACCTTTTCGTAGACACCTTATTTGACCTCCTTTGTACATGATTTAGTGCAACTATAGGACTGTGGTTGCAACAATGATCTATATGGTCACAGTTCATGTCAATAACATCACACCAACAAAAGTCAACATTCACACCTGTGCAGAGATTGGAGTTTATTGGGGCCTACCTCGATTCTCTGGAATCTATAGCCTGTCTGCCCCGGCACAGATTTACCACTAGTCAACCTAATACTATAATGCAAGCCATCACATAGACATTGGCCAGGACCTGCCTCTGACTATGAGGCCGTATGTCAGCAATCACATTTGTTGTCAAGCATGCCAGACTAGACATGTGATGCCTGCCAGGCTGGCTCAGGACAGTATATATTCCACACACAAACAGGCTTCTTACAATGCCAAGCAAATTAAAAAACTGTCTACACTGGTGGCCTCAATCACACAATATCTGTACAGGAGTTCCCTTCGCATGCCCCCACCCCTCCCTCGATGATACTTACAACAGATGCCTCTCTGCTAGGTTGGGGGGCACACCTGTGCAACCATACGATCAAAGGGTGTTGGTCCCCATTGGAAGCAACATTACACATAAATCTACTTGAGCTGCGAGTAGTGTGCAATGCATGCTCACGCTTCCTACCCATAATCAGAGACGACATCCATAAAGGTGCTTATGGACAACGTCGCTTGTATGTTTTATATAAAGAGCCAAGGAAGGGCATGGTCGTACTTCCTATGCACAGAAGCGATGCAATGTATTGAGGCATCTGCCACAACATCGACATCTCAGCCTCCTACCTACCAGAATGCCAAAACACCATAGCAGATGCATTGAGCAGAACCTTTTCACAAGACCATGAGAGGGAAATGAACATCAGGGTACTGCTGAACATATTCAGATGCTGGGGGTTCCCAACTATAGACCTCTTTGCAACAAAACACCATGAGCCCATACTTCTGCTCCAGAGTAGGACTGGGACCCGTTCTCTTGTTGATGCCTGTCTCCACAAATGGGATACACATCTACTGTATGCTTTTCCCCTGATCCTTCTCCTAGCCAGGATCATACACACGGTAAGGACTGACAACTCCAGAGTCATCTTAATGGCTCCCACACAGTCCAGACAAATGTGGTTTCCTTACCTCCTGAAGATCACTTTGTACCCACCATGCACTCCACTTCTACCTCATCTCCTGTCTCAGGATGCGGGCAGGTTTACCACCCGAACCTAGCAAGACTCCACCTGAAGACATGGCTACTCCATGGTTCCAAGAACATGAAATGACCTATTCAGAGGAGGTAAGGGACTTCCTTTTAAACAGCAGAAGGTCTACTACACAATATACCTACCTTCACAAATGGAAAAGATTTCATACATGGTGCCAGAATAGTCAAACAATGGCAACTATCTTTCCTCTATCTATGGTATTGGATTATGTACTAGAACTCAAGAAATCAGGTCTTTCGTTGAGTTGGGTGAGAGTATACCTTGCGGCACTCACAGCATTCCACCACCAAGAGGGCGACTTCTCGATCTTCGCCCACCCTACCACCAAAGGTTTTCTCAGTGGTCTCTGCCACTTCTACCCTGAAGTACGAGCCCCCCACTCCATCATGGGAACTCAGTCTGATGCTGCAATGCCTTATGGGGCCCCCTTTTGAACCCTGGTGACGGGCTCACTTCTCCACCTCTCCATGCCTTCCTTGTCATTATCACATCCGCCCGAAGAGTGGGAGAACTGGAACCCTCATGGCACATCCCCCATACACAATATTTTTCACAAATTTACCATATGACCCACACCCCAAGTTTCTACCTAAAATAGTTTAGTCATTCCATTTGAATCAACCCATCCATATCCCATTGTTCTTCCCAAAACCTCATGGGAACAAACAAGAAGCAATGCTTCATACCATGGGCATCCAAAGGATGCTAGCATTTTACATTGAAAGGACAAAGTCTTTTAGAAAGTCACCAAAGTTATCTCTTTCCATCATGGAACGATCTAAGGGAGACGCCATATCCAAAGGCTGTCAAAATGGATCTCCGGCTGCACTGGCTTTTGCTATCGCCATCAACAAATACAAACTCCGCTGCAGATCCACACACACTCCACCAGAGCTTTCTCTACATTGATAGCCTTCCTCAACAACTTGCCCATTGTGGACATCTGCAGAGTAGCAACTTGGGCCTCTGCCCATACATTCCCACAGCACTATGTCGTATAGCTGGACTCGACATCAGACGCTATACTGGGACTTGCGGTTTTATCATCTGCCCAGACTGCAACTCCGAAGCCCCTCCCTTTCAGAGAGGGGCACTGCTCTACAGTCACCTAAAGTGGAGCACCCCCATGGACACTCTTTGAAAAAGAGAAAGTTATTCACGCTGTGCAGTAACTGAGGTTCTTCGAGATGGTTGTCCCTGTGGGTGCTCCACTACCCACCCCTCTATTTTAGAGTTTTTATGCTAGAAACTGTGTTAGAGAAGTGGGGGTTGGTTGCACAATGCTATGTGACTGCCAGAGGTGGCATGAGACGGGGACAGCACATGTGCGACCCAACCAGGCGCTGCTACTAAAAATCTCTGATTACGAGGGCAGGGGTGCAGATTCACCTAAAGTGGAGCACCCACGTGGACACCCATCTCAAAGAACCTCAGTTACTACACAGGGTGAATAACCTTCTCTTTGTTTCGCTTGATGAAAAAGTGTGTGTGTGTGTCTGTCTGTCTGTGTATGCACATATTGCTGTTTAAAGATGTCTAGCACAGTCAGAGTTAGTACATGTTTTTCATCTCTTCTAATACATGTACCTTATCCCTGTTTAGAAGAACCACTTGTAGTAGTGAGTAGGTTGTGCAGGGATCCTTGAGACATGGGCTTCTGCTGAGATTGTCAATAAGGTCTCTATCATGGTGATAGTTTTTATGATGTGGTTATCACTTCAGTAGAACTGGCACTTAGACCACCACGTCATTACTGATGGTAATGACTCTAGGTCACACTTGACCTGTGCCAGATTTAGGTAAGGATTATCAAAGGAGCCTGAGAGAGATGCCCAACTCCATTGAATTTGAAAATCTCTGCCTCAAATCACTGATCCAGAAATGAGAGGCTCCATATACTGTTATAAATCCCTTGAAAGATCCAGTCCCTCCTTTCCCCATTTTATAAGTAGTTATAACAGCAGTAAAGAATTACAATATATTTTGACGTCCTGCCTTCAAAAATTTCTTTTGAAATAAACAAAGTAGAAATAAATTGCAGTAAAAGCTGCATAAAACATATAAATCTGAATTTTATAACTTTGTTTCCCCCCTCATTGTAGTTTTTATCCTCCAGTTGATGAGCCTGCTATTGGCCCTGAAAAATTGGATCTGTCTATGCGTCATGAAAGAAAAATTATCTTCAGAGGCAAAACCTTTCTGTTCCTAAGTGCTAAACAGGTAACTGGTCTCTGGGTTGCAAAGATGTAAAGACAATATTGATC